AGCACACACACACACCCACACATATAACACACAGGTACATAGACCAGCACACACACACACACACACACATATAACACACACCCCCATTGCATACACATCCATCCATCCATCCATCCATCCATCCATCCATCCATCCATCCAGCTATACACATATACACAAATACATACCCGACTGCGTGTGTGCCCACGCCTTTATTCCCAGCAGAGGAGGCAGATCTCTGTGAGTTCAAGGCCAGACTGGTCTATACAGTGGGTTCCAGGGCAGCCAGGGCTACACAGAGAAACCTGTCTCAAAAAGACAGGAAAAAATCCAGATTAGAAGTAGATCTTCCTTCTTGAAATGATTTAATGAAGCAAGAATCCCTCCCAGGTGTGCCCATCCATTCTTCGGTTTTAGTTCATTCCAGATGTAGTCAGCTTGATTACCAAGAATAACTGTCATACACAGCCATACACAGACATATACACACAGTACACCACACTTACACGTCTACATATCCACATGCACACGCATGCATGTAAGCATACACACACACATATTCATATACACATATGAGCATATATCCACATAACACATATCCACATACACTCATAACAAATGTACATACATATATCTGCACACATGTACACAGATACACACACACACACACACACAGAGAAAGGTAGAGGGAGAAGGAGACATGAGAAGTAATAATTTAGAGGTTAAAGAATTAAGACCAAGCAGAGCACGGTGGCACACACCTGTAATCCTAGCACTCTTGGAGGTAGAGGCAGGTGGATTGCTGTGAGTTCAGGGCCAGCCTGATCCACAAAGAGAGTCTAGAACAGCCAAAGCTACACAGAGAAACCTTATCTCCGGAAAAAAAAAAAATTCCAAAATAGTACATGAGAATGACTTACAAACATAGCAAATGTTTAGATCCACTAGTTGTAAAGGAAATGAAAACAAAAACAATGAGCTATTATGGCTGGAGAGATGGCTCAGCTGTTCCGGGCACTGGCTGCTCTTGCAGAGGGCTGTGGTTCAATTCTCAGCACCCACATGGCAGCTCACAACCGTCGGTAACTCCAGTTTCAGAAAGGTACAATACCCTCTTCTGACCTCAGAGGGCACCAGCACACACATTGTGCACGGACATGCATGTAGGCAAAACATGCATGCACATAAAATAAAAGTAAATCAGCCTTAAATACAAAAAACAAAACGACGAGATACTATTGTTCTAATCAGATTGTTCAAGGTCCACAGTGAGTGGATGGATAGCTCAGTGGTAGAGTGCTTGCCTAGTATGCACAGGCCTGGTTCAACCTCCAGCACCATAAAATAAGCAAACAAACAAAGTATATGCTGAAGTTTAAAAAATAGTCCTACCATTGAACTCTG